AAAGACCTCTCTAACAAAAGCCTGGAAACACAGAATCAGGCCGAGCTAAAATTCTTTCCCCGCGTGACCACGTCACCGAGTTCCTGTCACATGACCAGAACTCATTCATGTGACAGGAACTCGGTAACTCAGCGATGCTCGGTGAACTCGTTTGTGTCAAAAGCTCGTTTGTTGCTTCCACTGTCAGCAGGACAGTGTCCTCGCTTGTATTCAGAGCTCAACATCGCTCAACCGCTGCCGTGTCCTCGGGTTTACCTGACACCCCTGACCAATCAGCATTTGGCCATTTAAAAGGCGTTGCTGCGGTCGGGCTTGGGCCGTGAGGGGTTTGTGAAGCAGGCGCTGCTAAGCAACAGCCTCCTGCCTCCCAGGCCTCTGACCGCCGAGGACGCTGGGAAAGTTCTCACCTCATTCAGGAGGAGCAGCGAGGCACAAAACAACTTTATTTAAGCTCCAGGCCTGAAACACAAAGAAGTTAAAGGCTCCTGGAAAAGAGGAGGCGAGCGGCGTGAATGATTCATGAGGGGCCGAATGCTGCACACACACACACACACACACAGTCTGAATTGTGTATGTGTGTGTGTGTGCGTGCAGAGCGGGGGTCAGTGTGGAAATGAAGCCCGAGCTGCAGCGGGTGCTGGAGTCCAGGAGGAGAGATCAGCTGATCAAACAGAGGAAGGAGGAGGACGAGGCTCGCAGGAAGGTTTCTCCTCTGGAGGCCGAACTGCTGAAGAGACACAAGAAGCTGGAGGAGGTAACACACACAGACACACACACCAGTGAATCACAGCGATGTGGAATTACAAAGCTGTGACGCTCTGTGTGTCACGTTACACAAGTTCTAAGACTTTCACATCGTTTCTCCGAAAGCTGATTCTGTTCATCTGGACGTTTTCCGTGGGAGAAACGTTTCGTCTGTACATTTGCATGATGACTGAAACCAGCCCACTGAAGGAACAATGGGCTGTCCAGCTGTTTACAAACGTGCTGTTTATAAGGTTGGAAACCTGCAGCCAGCTGAGACTGAAGAAAGCTGCATGATGACGAAACGCTTCTCCCACTGAAAACGTCCAAACGAACAGAATCAACCTTTGGAGACCTGGATGCAGCGTCAAGACGCTTCTCATCGT